TTTTACTATTGGGTTTTCTGCCTCTTTGGTTTGTAATGTTGGAAGGACATTTTACAAGACTTACAGCTTGAAGAGTTTTACAGTTTAAGGTTAGAGTTTAACATACATAGATAAATAGTGCCATAAGCTCACTGGCAAAGTAGTTGATTATTTAATCTAAGTCTATGAATTTATTATACCATCATGTCCCAGCTGGTTCCCCAAACTAAGTTATCTCTTATTCAGAATAACAAATAACACCTCGCACCAAAACAATGTCTGTGGGCCCTGGCTGGTGTCGCTTGGTTGGGCTTTGACCCATAAAGCAGAAAGGTCATGGGTTTGATTTCCTCTTAGGGCACATGCATGGGTTGCAGGTTCAGTAGGATCAGGGTATGGACAAGAGGCGATTGATAGACGTTTCTCTCTCACATTGCTGTTTTCCTCCTTCTCTTTTTCTCTCCCCTCTCCTCTCTCTAAAATCAATAAGCGTATCTTCCAGTGAGTATTTAAAAAAAAAAAAGTCTATGTGACTATTCTGAAATCCTGAGAGGAAAGGCAGAAATTCATTTAACCGTGGTGTTTCACCATGGAATCCTGCTACTGAAGACTGGGTGCACGAGTCTCTTTTAGCTCCATGTTCAAAATCACATGTGTGGAACACACCCACCCACTCTCAGACCCCAGGGGCACCGAAGCACTGTAGGAATCAGGGGTCCTGAAAGGAATGAGCTCGCCTCTCTAAATAGGAGAGTGGTCAGAGATATTTATGGATATTTCACTTGTAAAGGGTTTTTGAGTGAAATTAAATTGACCAGAAGTATATAGGTTACTTCTCAGATAAGAAGACAGCAATATTCTTCAGCAATTCCAAAAGAGGCAGGATACTAGATAGATTATACCATGAGCCATTATGGAAATTCCTTCATGACCCAGGAGTTCTGAGTGGCAGAAAAATAATTTTGTACCTTGCAAAAGCAAATTCAAGTGGTACTGTGGCAAACCTGGAGAACCCCCTAGAATCACGGTGCCTGTTCTCCTCCCTCATTTTGGCAGGAATATTTGAGGAGGGCTGTTCGTTGATGCCTGTGTAGCCCTTTTTCTGGGAATTCACCACGTTTTACTCATGTCCGTATATTACAGAGCACACTTGCTATCATCCTCTCGTATGTAGTGGGTTGATGTCAATAGGCAGAGTGGCAGACATGGGGACAATATGGAACAATATGTGCATATTATTTTTATTTTATTTTTTTAAGATTTTGTTTATTTATCTTTAGAGGGAAAGGGAAGGAGAGAGGGAGAGATATATCAATGTATGGTTGCCTTTCGTGCGTCCCCTACTGGGACCTGGCCCACAACCCAGGCACGTGCCCTGACTGGGAATCAAACTGCGAGCCTCGGGTTTGCAGGCCTGCGCTCAATCCACTGAGCTGCACCAGCTAGGCATGCACATTATTTTTAAATGATGCCAAGTTTTGATAAGCATTCAAACATCATATGAGGAATACTTCTATATAAAATAATGAACACTTGGTAGCAAAATACACTCGTGTTTGTATGTAGAATACTTCTATATAAAATAATGAACACTTGGTAGCAAAATACACTCGTGTTTGTATGTAGTATTTGATCCATCAAAACCTTACACCATTGTGCTAATGAAGGCCTAAGCATCCTCAGTGCAGCAGACTAGGCCTGGAAACCTCAGTGACTTCATCGGGCCACGCTGACTTGCCAGCCCACACGCACTGCCCTTGAACGTGCTGAAATGGTAACGTCAACGAAACGTCTCAGGCTAAGCAGCCTTTCCTTGGTCTTCACAACAAGGTGCCTACGTATTTCCCAAGTATGACACCAAGATCTTAGCAACACCACCTATTAACACCATAACTAATGCTACATCAGGAATGAAGCTTCCATGGTTGGTTTCTTAGATCCACTCTTTGGGCCATGCCTCACCACCTCTCTGTCCTTTGGGGTGGACGGAAGGCTCCCCCGCTTTGGCTTGTCCTCAGAGGGACTCGTCATAGCCCTTTAGAGTTCCTCCCATTCCTTTGTGTCGCTGACAATGCCACAGTTAAGAGTTTGTTAGTGTGGTTTTTACCTGCATTTTTTATTTTCCCTCATTTGTTTGCACTTAGGCCACTCCATGCATTTGCCGAGTCATGATGGCATCTGACTGTCTTCGCCGGTCCTGGCAGTCCCAGCCACTCAGTAAAACTGTCCAAGGTTCAAGTCTATGTCTACCCTCAGACCACCCCTGGCCGTTTTTAGGAAAATACAAGCATCTGAGCCAAAGGGCTGCTGGACTCTTCCGCCAGCGTGGGCATTGCTTATACGTCCCCACGTATTTCCCTTTCCATTTATTTAGATGAAATTTTCTCAGATGAAACAAATCCAGTCAGCTCTTCTTCCCTGGCAGGAGAAAAGACAGGAGGAAAATGAAGTTTTAGATATCGAGTATGATTATAGAGTTCTACAATGTACATCTCATTTCGGAAGAGGAGAAAGCCCCTAATTCTCATTGATTTGCTACCACTTGTATTTGTGGTTCTCATTCACTAGACTATTTCTCTAATTTTTTTTTTAAAAACCTGAAATTTTAACTATGATCTACTCTAATGACTTGCTTCCCAGAAAGAAAAAAATAAGTTGCAGGTAAATTAGTTGCTAGAGATAATATTAAAGCCCAGGTCTCCTCATTTCAAGGCCAGAATTATTTTGGCTTTTTCTCTTGATGTCAACCTTTAATCATAATAATGTAATTTGAGAAAACATTCAATTATTTAGTAGTATCTTCTACAATAAAGGAAGAACTCATTTAGAAGATACCTTGGGATTCCAATTCTTCCACTTCAAATATCTGTCCATTTTTCACACATTTGCAATAAAAATTTTTACTAAAAATATATTTTATAAAGAAAACAATTACCAGTAACAGCCTGATATTTTATTAAAGTATTGTAATGAGAATTAGATTCTAGGGCTACTAGGCTATTTAATTCCATACTTTATAATAAAGCTTATTTCATGTCTTTCAAAGGCAAAAATGAGTCTGTTTTAGTTAAACAAATTTTAGAACTTTTATTATTATCTGGATCCTATCCTTTACTTCCAGTTTATTCTCAAGTAGAAGTTACATAATTTAACTCGCAAAGGAAATGCAACTAACATTTTTTTCTCTAAAGTCCTTCAGACTTTTATGAAAGACATTATTTGTTCATTATCTGCTAACACTATGTATTCTGAGTCATCGTTTGTCTATAGTGACTTTATTGAATTTTTTATAATTCTGAAAAATGATACATTACTTGGTTTGCTCGTATCCTTTGCAGTTGATATAAATTAATCAAAAGTACATCCCAGGGATAGTCTGCAGCTCATTCCCAGCCTGAGACGTGATAGAGAACCCTCCCCATTGAGGAGAGTGAGTTCGTCTGTTAGAAGGCTCCTGGGTTTTTTGGGTTTTTTTTTTTTGTTTTTTTTTCATTTCTGAAATAGCATAATCACTTCCAAGATCTACATACATTTTAGGATTAGATCCTAGAGTGATATTCTTCCATATTAATTTAACCCCTTAAAAGTTTTTAGTTTAACTATTTTGAATTTTCTTAGAAATATCTGTCTAAGAAGCAAAATGTGTTCATTTATATGTCTATCCATTCTATAGGGTGGTATTAAGAAGCTTTCAAGGCAGAGAGACCACTTCAAACAGTTACTCCTCCTACAATAGTTTTAAGTTATAACAAAGTTCAAACCGAACCAAAACATTCACATCCTGAAGAGGGTAACAAGAAAAAGTCATATTTAAAGGGACATAACATTCCAGTTGCTCTTTAATCTCTATCTCCAGAAAGCTACAAATTCATTAGCCACAAAGAGGGTATTATGCAGAAGTGTTTGCCCAATAACATTTTGAAAGGTCAGTCATCTGTTAAAGCGACTCACGGAACGGTGTGCACATAAAACCCCATCCTTCTTTGTCAGCTACTTTCACCCCAAAAATGTGCACATTTTTGTTCCTGAAGGTGGCATAACGAGGAGCTAATTTCAGGAGATTTACTATCTCCTAGAGGAGTCAAGCTAGATGCTTTAAAAATATTACTCAAAAATAAGAAATGTTATAAATTGGCACATGTTACATACAGAACTCACTCTACTGACCAGAAGTTTCCAAACTCAGGCTGCAGGGCAGGCTCACCTAACTTAGAGATTCTAGGCCTTAAACTCTACAGCTGGAACCATTCTCCAGCTGACTCCACGGGATGGCCTTAGGTGTGTGGGTGCACCACGGTTTTACACCATAAATACGCATAAGTGGTGGGGGTAGTTGTGGAACACCTCAGGGAGGCAGCGACTCCAGACTGTGACCTGAAAAGCAGCCAGGCATTTGGAAAGGAGCGATACTGTGGACACAGTTGTAGGTGAGGGACTAGCAATTGCTGAGGCATGATTAGTCTACAACCGAGCAGATCGTTCCTGAAGGGTGGAAACTAAGGCTGAGGGGATAGGTCACCACCAGCCTGGAGGTTCGGGAATACTCTGCTGGGCTTTATCTTACAGGCAGGGAACTCAAAAACCAAAGATTTTTGTCCGAGGAGAGGATATGAGAGTATATATTTTTTAAGTTAATGTTATAAAGAGGTAAAAATTATTTTAGAAAATAGCAAATCGAGTTGTTGTTACAAACTAGATATTAGAACTTTAAAAACTGTCTGCCCAAGTGCACGTCTGGTATTAGCCACTCTATTCCTTCCGAGCGTTGCTCTCCAGCTTTCTTTATCTGTCTTTACTCGCCTATGTCCTGCGTAGCCCAGAGTCCTGCCTGTAACCAGCCAGAGGGCACGAGCACACTGTCCCCACGCGTGACCGTCAGTGTTCCTAACCCACGTTCTGCATCAACTCCTGACGTTGTGGCTCATGTTCAGTGTCAAGACAGGTGGGGAAAAGGTGGCTCACAGCCTAGAAAGGAGGAACAGCAGAAAGGACTTTTAACAAGCCTTCTCCATCTCTCCTAGTGCTCAGTAACCTGCGGCAAAGGGATGCAGTCGCGGGTTATCCAGTGCATGCATAAGATCACAGGAAGACATGGAAATGAGTGTTTTTCTTCAGAAAAGCCTGCGGCGTACAGGCCATGCCACCTTCAGCCCTGCAATGAGAAGATTAATGTAAACACCATCACGTCCCCCAGGCTGGGTAAGCAGACCCCAACAGGGGATGGCTTTGAGAAATACAGAGACACGCGTGGCTTCTTCTATTTCGTACATCCTTTTCAGCTTCGTTATCCATGTAGATTAATTAGTTTGGTCCTGACTAAATTCGCTCTCTTGAACTATGGTTTAGTCCAAATGGCCAGGTGGTTAAAAAATCCTAAAGCCCGGAGCTCTTTTGATTCCAGAAGCCATGGACTGGGAGCCAGACCCTGGGATCGTGAATGGCCCACCGCCCGAGGTCCTCACAACAAGGGTGGAAGGCTGCCTCGATATTCGGGGTTCCGACCAGTCTCATGGCAGAACCATCAGTTAAGGCGACATCTAGTAGAAAGTAGGTTGTGGTACCTGGCTCAGATCGCCCCATTGTGAGTAGCCTTTTATCAGATCCTGGGTACCAATCATCCTTTGGAGAGACGTGGAGTAACAACTGGCTCTCAAGGTGAATGGGGGCAGGATCTCTACCACCAAACAAGAGGTACCATGTTTTCCACAGTTAAGGATGTATTACACATATGTCCTTAAATACAGATAACTACTAGCAACCTATTGATTTACATAGATTTTATGATGTAAAATACTTTCATATGTATCCTCAATTCCGGTTATTTAATCTAATCCATTGTAAAGAAGTACGGTATGTATTTTAAGTCAATGTAGTCTACACTTGCACAACAAATATTCATGAATGAATTAGCCTTTGTGTTTGTGGCAGTTGGTGGCTTTTACCAGCACTGCTGCCTGGCCCTTATGGGGTTAGTCTGTGTCTAACACTTGGAGTTTTCCTCCGTGCACATGACCTCCAGGGGGACCATGTGATCGTTAATTGTCATAGATATTCTTCCAGGCATAAGATTCAATCAAATGGAAAAGTTTGGTTCTTCATGGAAATACAAAAATTCTCTTTTTTGAGCCAAATAATTAGCATTTCTAAGAAGTCGTCAAAGACTAGTTACAACAAAAATTTAAGCAGCCCTAGAGCCAATGCGGCTGAAGCCACGTATTCCCGACAACACAACCCCTCTCTCCAGCCATTACTTGGAGGCCTTCTTGAAATGTGTGGCTGAAAAGAATGAATTAGAAGAAGAGTGTAATCAAAATTGCATTTCTTTTATGTTTATTATTTCTTAAAGGTGTGCCCCAAAACACAAAAGCACAGTGATCAGAAAACTCTGGGGTTTTTAAGTATAAAGTAACAAATCATATTAGAAGAGTGGCAAGAGGAAGAATTGTAGCAGATGGACTGTGATCACACACGCCAGAACACACTAGTCCTCCAGAAAAGTAGAGGCCAAATCTATATGGCCGATTTGTTACATCAAGTTCTCATTTCAAACACTTGAATGCAATAAATTTCAGCCCTGTGATAAATGGCTTTGGTTTTAAAGGTGCATGAAATCATTATCCCCAGCTGTCCCAGTTAAGACATGTCCAAACAAACGAAATAGAAACAGACTTGGAGATGCAGAGGACAGACAGACAGACAGTCGTCAGAGGGGAGGAGGCCTCAGGGGCCGGGTGGTGAAGGTGAAGGGACCAGGGGTCACGGAGGTGTACGCTGCAGCACAGGGGACACGGTACCATCCGGATGATGCTGTACGGGGCCCGTGGGGCACTCGAGGCCGTGGGGGACCGCTCTGCAAAGTACCTGGCTGTCGAACCCTTGGCCACACACCTGAAACCAACACAGAATAATACCAAATGTAAATTGTCATTGAAATATTAAACGATGAGGAAAGAAAAGTAAAATGTGTGGGCACATTATCGTTTTGCTATTTCTTTATAAATTCATCCGTAACAATGCTTACTTAATTTTCATTCCCAAAAGGGTACATGTATTGTGCACATTTATTTGTCTTTTTAACCTTCTCAACTAAAAATCCAAAAGAAACTGAAATGAAAGCCGTAAAATTGAACCTTACCAGCCATTTGCAGGACAACTCTTCAAATTTGGGGCAGCTATTTTTTAATAAGTGAGAACATTATACACTCGCTCTATGCCGCCTCCACTTTAGGCTGTAAATGTCTGTGTGCGCGTGCACGCACGTGTATCTCTGCCTTCTAAGTCCCAGAGGTAACGGAGGGTAAAGGAGTCAAAGGGAGCGCACAGGATCCCCACTTACGTGATTGAGGTTTGCTGCTACTCAGGACAGCTGGGGAACTGCGAGTATTGAGTTCCCTGTGTTCTGCCTCGCAGCTGCTCTGACCTTCAAGTGCCTGGGAGACCAGTGGCCCGTGTACTGCCGGGTGATCCGCGAGAAGGACCTGTGTCAGGACATGCGGTGGTACCAGCGCTGCTGTGAGACGTGCAGGGACTTCTACGCCCAGAAGCTGCAGCAGAAGAGCTGACCTCCGGCGGGCGGGCCGGCTCACCGCGCTTCGCGAGCACATTATTTATAAACACACACACTAGCATGTTCTTCAGACCAAACGTTATCAGATTACATATAATTTAATCAAATTAATTTATTTTGGGGCCTGCCAAACATCCAATATGGTGTTTGTCTTGGTAATACAAACATTGGGATTTATACTATAGGGCTTCATTATTAATTTTATATGAATAAGTTGGATCCAGTTACCAACATAAAAAGAAAAAGGTAAAAAAAAAACACAAAAAACTAAGATCATTAGGCTTAAAGATCATTTTTTTTAAGTTAGGGCCGTCTCTAAGGTGCCACTCTCTCCCCTCCAGTATCATTGAGTTACACAGAATGTAAACTAACGGAGTGTCCTAGTTCGGCTCTCCACCGAGAGTAACCGTTTTCGTGTTTCGGCGTCCGGCGCAGAGTCAGCCCATTTCCTGTGCTCCGAGGGGGACGTGGAAACGCGACACACCTCCTGGTGTCGAGCAGGTTTTCAGAGAATATACTATGAATTGGGTTCAGAGTTAGAGACATCTATTGGGAAAATTCTACTGTAATTATAACCTTATTTTAATAATGGAAAAGAAGAAGTCAGACTAGAGACTTTGATCATGTTCATGAACATGTACTTGAACACGAGTATTGTAACAATGAAACACTGTAACTAATGATTTACACTGAATCACCATTGCACTGTCGACATAGTGTAGAGAAACCATTATAGAAATGGTGCCAGCCTGCAACAAAGTGTATTACTTTAACGTGTTGTCATTAGATTTTAGCTTTTTTTAATATTTTGACCCAAGAAAGCATTGATCCACCCATTCCCTTGTATCTTTTTAGCAGATTTTAAAAGAATATAGTACTTAACCTCACAAATCATGATGAGAGAATTGACTAAATATTTTTCAGCCTTTTCCCTAGAAACAAGGAAAAACAAAAAGCTGATAATACTGTGGTAGTTTCATTGTGTTTTTTTCTTTTTAAAAATTAAAAAGTTTTACAATTCTGTGAAACGTTAAAAAACCAGCTTAAAATTTTTCTTGTGAGAAAATATTGTACATGATTCACATGATTCCTTAGATTTTTTTCAATAAAACATGTGAAATTTCCTGTTGGGAGGCGATTCTTCGTGGGTCGCTCGCGTTTCCCCCAGTCCTGGCTCTGCGGCTCTGGTTCCAGATCCTCTAAGGGATGTTTGGACAGTGAACAGCCTTGGAAGATAACGTTAGTTTGCTCTTTGGAGCAAAGGGCGGATGTGCTTAGTTCTCCTTAGAAAAGTCCCGCATTCCCCCAACGGGGGTCCCTCACCTGTGACACAGCCGCTGCTGTGCGGGTATCACCTGGCCCCCTTCACGTCTGCTGGCTTCCGCTGGCACCACTACCACGAAAGCCCTCATCCCGCAGGCCGTGGAACCAGAAAGGGGGAGGGGTTTTTTTTGCCGGTTTCTGGTTTTTTAATTAAATCTATTGGGATAACATTGGGTAATAAAACTATACATTGCAGGTGTACAACTTTATAACATAATCTCTATATACACTATTGTAACTTCACCACCCAAAGTCTTTTGAGTATCTATTGCAAACATACCTTCCAGAATTAGGGAAATTACTGCAGGGTGGGCCCAGGGGCTCTTGGGTCCACGGAGGCAGATTTAAGCCAAAGCTCAATTACGTGCCCTGACTTCCACAAGTGCCTGCTCTGACGGTGGGACTTCGGGGGGAGCTGGAGCCAGCAGGAAGCAGTTTAGGGCCAGTCGCACGCAAGTCATCGCAAAGTCAGATTATTTTTCTTTCCCCAGCATAGGCTTCCCTCAGGGACGACTAGAAGGCCGACTAACAATATGAATTTTGGAGAGTGTAGCAAAGTCCTTCCTCAAAGGGATTTAGCCTCCCCTCCACTCTAGGAGCTTCAGGCCTGTAAACCTGCCTTTGTGTGGGATGGAGCAAGAAATGCAATTCCCTGCCGTGGTGAGGCTTCTGTTCACTAAGACTAGAAATGTAATGCTTTATACAAACCTAAGACTTGAGTAGAATGAGTCTCTCTTTCAGTCCTAGGGCCCCATGAACAATTAGCCAGAACCGGACATCTTTGGGGGTCAAACCTCTCCCTTGACCCCTTTGCTTCTACTGCCCTTTGGAGAACCATGTGCTCCGGGTCTCTGGCAGCAACATGGAACCACGTGGTCCCCGCCCTTGTGGCGGTCCATATTCTCATGAAATTCACGGAGCCCAGCTCGAGGGCAGCATTGCCCAATGGCGTTTCTGACATTCAGAGAATAGCCGCTTGAGGGCTCTGTAAGGGCTCCAAGGCCGCCTTCCCCAGTGGCTTTTCAAAGCTTGGCACAGGGAATGCCCTGTTGATACACTCGGGGGGCAGGTGGAACAGGTGAGTGAACACACGTCAAGACCCATCTCCTTAAACGTCTACACGCCTTCCTCTACAGATCATAGCAAGGGCACGTCAGCATCTCAACTCCGTTCAGGTGGCCACCGTGGGTCCGGGTTTCAGATGAGTTGTTGGAGTGACTCCCAGCTATGTGAACCAACACTTTCTAGAATCTCTACTTCATGAACCCACATCAGAAACATTTAGCTAATTCAACTTTGTATTCCTTCCATCTTAACGTAACCCTCTTAAGAAACATCTCTGAACATTGAGTGTCAGTAAATGTGAGTGATGAAACCTTGCAATTCCTCTGACATGCGTGGGACCGCCTCACAAGCCACGCTGCTTGCCTGGCCCCCGTGGATCTTCCAGGACCGGACCCGGATGTGGACTTAGAAGACATGACAGACCATGGAACGTGAGCAGTAGAGTGAAAAAGGTTTGACTCCAAGATTGTCCTGTGAGCTTTCTGGGTCCCAGATTAGACCTTGGGCGGTGACTCTAAAACCTCAGGCTTATTACTCTCTTTCTATAAGTTCTCCAGCCTATTTGGAACCAATGGATCAAGCCCACGGTCATTATTCTTTTTGTTTCTATGAAAAAGCCCTAACACAGCAGGTACTTGCTGACCCAGAACCTTGCTTTTGATGGGCCCTTCCCTCCAGATGACTGCAGGCGAATTTAGATAACCCTGTGGGCACCACATGCCGTGGCTGACCGGGTCCCACTTAGTCCTAGACACAGGGTCACTAACACCATGGAGTGTAATCAGATCAGAGAACGAATTGCAGATTTCACTTCTGAAATTCTCTTCCTGGGAAACATTGGAGTTTTGTGGCAATAATTGTCACAGTTCATCAGCAGAGCAAAGTTGGAGTGTTTCAGGTTAATGGATTTGAATTCACACCGTCAGGAGGAGCTAGGGGATCAGAGGGGTCATCAACCAATCTGAGCAGCCAGGCTCCGCCAGGTAAGTAAGTCTGACCGTGAAAGGAGCATTCCTGACGGTGTGCATGGGAGGCTGCTGCATCTGCATAATGCCCACTTTCCTGGGTCTGCTGTCAAACAGGTAGTAGGGCCTCTGAGTCCTGGTTGGTCAACAGGAGCGGCAGCCGGAAGGAAGGAATTGGGCGTGGAGCTCAAGGGAGCAAAGGCCGCTGGGAAACTGCCAAGCCCCGTGCCCCTGTCTGTCGCTCCATCTCACTGCAACAAGACTTTCAGAGGAAGGGATGCTGCTTCCATTTTTCCCATTCAATCTCATGCAAGCTCCTCTTTTCGCCAGTCCTAACCCAGAATCATGTGAAGAAGGGGATTCTGGGAAATGTTAGCTTTTTAGCTATAGATGGCTAATAGTAGTAATTTTTTAGGTTTGTTTTATATCAGAGACAACTGAAGTGAAAAGCTATATTCCTACTCTATTAAACCTCATGGCAACCTTATAAAGTACTAGTAACATCTTCACATTTATAGCCAAGCGACCTGAGGCTCAGAGAGTGTCAGTAACTTGCCCAAGAATACATTTTAGTTGGATGTAATAGAGCCACCAGGACTCCAGATTCTGTGCACTCAATTATCCTGATTGTCTTCCTTGTCCACTAGTTTTGAAAATGGTTTTAATAGGTGCATAGGATTTATAACCTCATCACAGGCTTTCTTTGTAATCAAAACCATCCAACTAATTTTGAAACTTTCTGAGATAATTTGATGAATTCCAACTGCTCATCTGGACATTGTACAGGATGTTCAGCTGAAAATACTTTCAGGCATTTCAGTAGGTTTTGGTACAATTTAGAAAGAGAAGAAAGAAAGGGAGGCAGAGAGGAAGGAAGGAAGGAAGGAAGGAAGGAAGGAAGGAAGGAAGGAAGGAAGGAAGGAAGATGAGAGAATAAGAAAGAAGAAAATGAGGTTAATTAATATGTAGATAGTTTGCCTAGTAGAACCATTTTAATTCTATTTTTTAAATTCTCATGGTTCAAAAACTAATAATGCTGGGTTTAATTTGAAGGTGAAATGAGACTTTCAAAATATTTTTCTATAAAGCAAATGATTACCTACGTAGTAAGGACTAAGAAGTTGCAGATATCCACAGTTCTGCCAGATCGTCCCTGCAATACAGTTCTTTATTTATATTTATTGATGGTCATTTTCACTCTGAAATGAAGGTATTAATGTAACAGAAACCACAAGTCAACATTTGTCCAGTTACTCTCAGGTAAAATTTTGAAGAGCCAAAAAGAAAACAACGACATGGCTGTTACGGGAAATGCTGGAGGTGATGAAGCAGAACTTTTTAGAGTCTTCAGTGTACATTAAAAAAAAAATACCAGAAGAGGCTATAGAGTATGTCATTAACATTTTGGGCCATGGATTCCTTTTTCATGGAGCACAGGCCATTGGAAAACAGGACATTGAGCCATTCTTTTAAATGAAATGTAATCGGATTACCTATTTCCGAACTGAGCAGAGCCCTCCCTGGGGCTCTGGAGGAGACAACCGTCAGGGCAGGCCTACTGAGCAAGGAGCTTCGGAAGGGTCTCCCGAGCTGACGCCCGTGGGGCAGCAAGCATCCCATAGGGCAGTCTGTGTGTAACGTGGCCCCTGGCACAGAGACCCATAAAAGAAAGTATGAACTACATCATCAAACACGAGACAGTAAGGTGAGAGTATAAAGAAATCGCCTTAAGATTTCAAAGGAAGGAGAAAACATTTCTACTGAGGAAAGTATGCCAAGGTTTTGTAGAAGAGAGTCTAGGTATCAGGGACAACGCCTAGAAGATGGTTAATTGGGGGTCAGTAGCCAGGGCATGAAGAAATGTTTCCAGGCGTAAGCGAGGGCAGAGATTTGGGGGTGGGGGTGGGGCATGGCCAGTAGCGGGGGAGGGAGGAGAAAGCTTGATTTGTCCTTTTTATTTTTATTTTCCATTTTTACTGTTGGCGCTATTATAGATGGCCCCATTTCTCTCCCCTTGTCGGTTATGTGGGCTCCCCTCAGGGGTAGTAGTGAGAACAAGAGCTGATGGTTTAGGGGGAGGGTGGACAGGAAGGTGGGGGAAGATGCAGGGTCTGAGACTAAACTTGACTTGTAGACCACCCTCTGGTCATCTGGAGCATAACAGGGAAGCGGCGGGGTGGGGGGGGGGTGGTCTAAGGAAAGGCCACCTAAGGAAAACCAAAGGCTGCTTTCACCTACCTCATACTTTGGCTAAGAAAAAGGCCTGGCCTGATCAATATATTTGGATCTGAGCTCTGTGGCTCCCCTTGCCAATAATATAGAGAGCCAAAGAGAAGTTAGGTTCTTCTTGAAGATGTTTGTTATTCCCCAAAGAATCTTTTAGGAAAAGCAAACAGCCTGAGAAATATTTGTTCGTTAGACGAATTCTGGCAGCAGCCAGAAAAGTCCAGAAAGTACCAAGCAGGCGCACATTCCCATGATACACTTGATTCTTAGGACACTTGTGACTTAACTGTTTGATTATCAGCTGCTGCTGTGAAGCGCTATCGCCACTAAATGTATCAATGTGACTACCCAAATGTATTCATGCATTTCAACTATTGTAAGACAGTGATAGAGTTTGGGTCCAGAAAATTCTTATAGAAAGTGTTGCCTGTTTAATCCAGTTTTACAACTATAAGTGG